AGCATACGAGAGGACCACAATCCCCTCTGGGTCATTTCATTTGTTGTGGTGCAGTCTCGTCTCTACTAACTATAATATTGAGCTTCTTTGGCTTTTTGTTTCCAGAACGAGTCCAATAATTTATCGCATCCAAGAATTAAGCCAAATGAGAGCTCAATCCCTTAATAATATCTCTTAAATCAGCCAATGATATGTAATTTATCATGTTGTCATATACTATTGCCTTAAGGGATGGGAGCTGAAGCTCGACGAGAAGTCAATGTTTACGTTCCAAAACAGGGATAAACACATGCAATCATAAGTAATAATTCATTCATTTGCGCACTTATTTACGAATACCTTTAAACTCAATCTAAAATAAATACTAACTTTATCGACCTCCCACCATGCAGGATAAAGTTTAGCTTGTCCATTGCCCAACGCAAATGATTCATCTCGTTGATTCTTCAAGTGAACGGCGTTAAAAGACGTCGGCATAATTGTATATCGTGTATTTCTTTTATTTTCCTTAAGTTTCCTAATTATTAGAAGACGTGACACCCACGCATCGATATGCTGTTTTACAAAAAAAGACATATATTAGTAACTTACATAAATTTAAAAAAAATAATCAAATTGAAATATAAGAAAAATATAAGACTTACCCCTCCATCGAAATAGCAATTGTCTTCGACCCCTAATAGTACGCCCCACCAAGACCGATCAAGCAACAAATAGATATCATCGTTGAGCTTGCATATGTCAGTGAAACACCCCTGGCTCCGCTCATGTAGATAAAAATCAACTGCGGTCTTAGCCCAAAGGGTGTTATCCAGAATTGTGTCAGGTAGTTGTCTCCTCTCCACTTCAGATACCAGAATGGTACTGGTCGGTAACTCATACGAGAGCCAACTCTTATCCATCATGTTCGGCACGTCAGAGGGTTTCTCAAGAATCTTACATATGACGCCATGTGAATCGGGCTCTTGAATGGTGGGAGGGACCTCTTCAACGATGACAGTGGCCTCTTGAACGGTGGGAGGGGACTGTCGAGGAATGATATGGGCCTCTTCAACGATAGGAGTGGACTCTTGAGGGATGACAAGCGAGTCAAGCTTCTTCTTGCGGTGTCTTTGCACTATTTGGGTGTACGGAGACTTAATAGCACGTGCACGCCGTCTGATGCGTGAACTCTGTCGTGCAAGAAAAACCTGACGTAAAGCATCGACCTTATCGGGCCGCTAAATAATTAAATACAAAAATCAGTAAATAAACAGACATGATATTTAAATAGTGAAAACAAAGATAAATATGTTTCAAACTTGCATTGAATTCACCCAAGCCATTATTCTATCATAGTTCACAAAATGCATCAGATAATAAAGACAAATATGTTTCAAACTTGCAACACTGTCAACTTAGTATTTGTCTTTGTCTATTGGTTGAAGTAATGCAATTCATTCAAGTTTCAATTTGCAGAAGAAGAATAGTTTCTGGAACTTAAAATCGCAACGTGAAAAATGACTATCGCAACGAGAGAATGAAAATCGCAACGCGAAACGAAAATCGCAACGCGAAATGAAAATCGCAACGAGAGAATCGCAATGTGAAATGAAAATCGCAACGCGATTATAGTTTCGCATTGCGATTTTTGGTTTCGCGTTGCGATTTTGTCGTTGCGATTTTCGTTTCGCGTTGCGATTTCCATTTCAACCAAAAGACAAAACAGTGTTGCTAAAATATAGTTTCAAGAATAAACTATTTCTTCTTCTTCTGCAAATTTAAACTTGAATGGATTGCATTACTTCAACCAAAAGACAAAACAAAGACAAATACTAACTTCAGAGTATTAAAGAATACACAGTTTAGCAGAATTGGCAGTAAACGAACAAATTTACTTTCAACCAAAAGACAAAACAAAGACAAATACTAACTTCACAGTGTTAAAGAATACACAGTTTAGCAGAATTGACAGCAACCGAACAAATTTACTTTCAACCAAAAGACAAAACAAAGACAAATACTAGCTTTACAGTGTTAAAGAATACACAATTTAGCAGAATTGGCAGCAACCGAATAAATTTACTTCAACCAAAAGACAACAAAAGACAAATACTAACTTCACAATGTTAATAAACAGTTTAGCAGTATTGGCAGCAACCGAATAAATTTACTAAGTAATCTAAGTGAAATGGTTAATCTAAGTGAAATTACGAGTAAATTTATCATCAAGTTAAATATGGAAAATCTTAAACTTACCTCGTTGCGTAGAGTATGAACCTCATTCTGCAACGATACTACCATCTCACGTAGAGCGACAACCTCACCACGTAAAGTAGACACCTCCACACGCCATACACCATCGTTATCGCGTATAGTACCGATCTCCTCACGCAAGGCATTGACCTCATCACGTAACTCCCTTGACTCATCCCGTGGAGGTGGAGGTGGAGAACAGGGAGATAGAAGTCATGGCATCTTTGCCGGTCGCCTATCATGAGGTGATGGTGGAGAAGAGGCTCGATGATGTGACGGGATAGGTGATGTCTCTCGTTGTAGAGGTGTATAGTCGGGTCGATCATGTGATGGCTCTAGGTGAGGTGATGGCTCTCGAAGTGGAGGAAGTAGAGGCTGCTCATCATTCATGCCATCAAGAAAACGCTGACTAGCTTGCCACCAATCAGTGGCAAGCTCAGCCTCCGTGGGTGTCAGTCTTATTAATGGAGTGTTGGCCTCCTAAAAATATAAAAACTCAAACAAAGTTAAACGTCTACTATTAATAACTTGTTTATATATGATAATATTTGTGTTAACTTACATTATTTATTGTCGCATATGGTATTAAGTCTTCCCAATCCAACAGACGTTTCCTCTTCCAGGAAATAGCCCTAGGAATATCATTTGAAGTTTTTAATGCATATGTCCACATGCTGGGGAAAGCCTCGAATATCCAAATCTATAAACAATATAATAACAAACATTAGCAATTGTTAAATAATTAATTATAATTTTGAAAACATTATATAGAAATTCTTACCTTAAAGGCCCAAACAAAGCCTGACAAAGTGTATTTCGACCCATCGCCACGCAAACTTTTGCGGTCATCAAAGGCAGACGACAACTTAGTCCAGGTAGCTTTCCGTATATACGAACCCCACGGAAACAGATTCCATGCATTTAGGTCCTCTACCAATAATATTAGCTCCTAAGGAATAGGTTGTCTGGCCTCTCTGCCTAAAAAGCCGGCATACAAAAGTACTAGAAGGTATACTCGGACAACATCGACGCAATTCATCCGAGTAAAACCATCTTTCTTATTAAACAATTTCTTCAGGTCGTCGACGTGTAAGTTCGGCTTCTCTATTGACTCATCAGGAAAAACCCTGGATAACCATGATGGGCGGGTGATATGACGAGTGTACCGGCCTACATCATCGTGTCCGAATCGTAGACCAGTGATTAAGCAGAACTCCTTCCGCCCAAAACAAGTATACGCCGGTAGAAAATGAAATCATATCTCTTCCTCACCACGTTGTATACTGTCGGGTAGATCGCTAGTCATGGTCTGAAGCCACAAATGGGTCAAATTAGCATCTCCACCCGGATGCTGTACTCTCAGTCATGGCCCGAAGCAGGTTTCCTCAAACAATTTTCTTTGTGCAGGTGAAAGCTTCGAAGCAATTGTAGTGGCTAGGCTAACTTTATTCCTTAATGTCAATGAAGCCGAAAAAAATTTCTACAAAAACAATAAACATACCAAGTTAGATATACCAAAAACTACACTGTGAAGATATACCAAAAACAATAAACATAAATAGTAGTTTATTCTTGAAACTAAAATTTGCAACACTGTTTTGTCTTTTGGTTGAAATGAAAATCGCAATGAGAGAATGAAAATCGCAACGCGAAATAAAAATCGCAACGAGAGAATCGCAACGCGAAATTAAAATCGCAACGCGAAATGAAAATCGCAATGCGATTTTGGTTTCGCGTTGCGATTCTCTTGTTGCGATTTTCATTTCTCTCGTTGCGATAGTCATTTTCGTGTTGCGATTTTCATTTTTATGTTGCGATTTTAAGTTTAGAAACTATTCTTCTTCTGCATTACTTCAACCAAAAGACAAAACAAAGACAAATACTAACTTCACAGAGTTAAAGACTAAACATTTTAGCAATATTGGTAGCAATCGAATGAATTTAATAAGAAATCTAAGTGAAATTGTTAATCTATTATTGAAATTACCAGTAAACTTATCATCAATTTCAATATGAAAAACTTAAAATAATGCAAAAATTTCAAAATAAAAATAATTAAAAAAACTAACCCTTGGAGTTTGATTTTCCATTTCTGAATGATTGTGAGGGATTTCTGACCGTAAATGGTTGTGAAGGATTTCGCCGGCGATGGGGACGAAAATCTTCGGAGATGGGGACGGATTTCGCCATAGAGAGTGATAGATGGAGATGGGATTGAGTTGTGATTTTAGGTTTTAGGTTATGAGTTACGATTACGGGATATACTGTGGACGGTTCAGTTTCCGATATATTAATATATTCGTGTTTGAAATTTGAAAAAAAATACGCGTTAATACGAATGGCGCTATGTAAATCGCATTGCGATAGTCAGATTCGCATTGCGATTTACGTATTCGCGTTGCGATTTTCTTAATTCGCATTGCGATTTACGTAATCGCGTTACGATTTACGTATTCGCTTTGCGAATTAGGAAAATCGCAACGCGAATTTGGGAAATCGCAATACGATAGTCAAAATCGCGTTGCGAATATGGAAACTGATTTGCAATACCGAAAATCGCGTTGCTTATTATCGATCGCATTGCGATTTAGTTGGTCATTTTGACAAATCCAAAAAAAATGGTTAAAATCATATATTATAAGATATTTTTAGTCACTAAGGTTATTTTCTCAAAAAAAAAATTACTCTTTGCTACGGAGAATGGAATATTTATTAATCAACCAAACAGAACCCAACTGATCGAGTGAAATTTCCATGGACACTTCTTTAAATAAAAAAAAAATTGGTCCTTGCTTTTGCTTCTCCATCCACCAAAACCCTTTCTTCAAGGACCGTCGGCATCATCAATCATGGACCGACTATACACTGCAAAGTAAGCCCCCGGATACAAATATCAACGGTCCACGACAAAAGCAATATCTTTGTCTTCTAAAGCAAGTAACGGAAAAAGCCAAATCTTAACCCCAAATTAATAACAATGGTTTAAAATTCTAAAAACTTCAAAAACATTCTTCACCTATGACCTGAAATATATCTACTAAAAATGCCATATATAAATCGGATCACTTGTAGTGTTCAGGCTTCAAGACACCGATATAAGGCAAGTTCCTATATAGTTCGGCAAAGTCCATCCCGTAACCTACGACGAAATAATCCGGACACTGCAAAACAGCATTATAACGATGTCTCGTGTCACTAAGCATCAAATGGTTAATGAAAAAGAAAAATGCAGCCACCTGCAAATTATTTAAGGAACCATGCATGCTGCCACTACTAAAGATAAAAACCTTTTGCATACTGCGACAGCCGACAGGAATTTCAAACCAAGTGCAAAAAGGCTTGCAATGTAATCAATCAAATGCTTCATTTCCAAGAAACATGACTAATTTTGAAACCATTATTGAAAATCTAACCAGTCGTAGTTTGATCGTAAGAACATCAGAAAGCAAGAGAGTAAACATGCAACATATCAGGCAGAAGCTCCAAAATATTAATTTATAATGAAGATCCGTCGATAGCACTTGAAATAGAAAAAGGAGCAATAATTTTTTCTATGAATGATGATATGTTCTGAAAAAAGGAGCATATTCTTCAGAAAGCAGTTAATAAGACAGCAATATCCATTATCACCTACATATAATCCGTAGAGAAATCGGCTACATATTCTTACCTCGAATCCCTTGTAGAACTTTCCATCCCCAACAAGCTTGATCGGAACCTTCCGTCTTGATGGTTTATCAAGGAAAGCACAAATTGATACCGAGGACGCGCCTTTTGCTTCCAAGTGTGCAATTAGACAGGATAAAGTGCATCCTGTATCTACAATATCTTCAACCTAAGACAATATAACATGGGCTAATCTATTAGAAAATTTGGTTCTAAATCTTAATACTCTTATTAGAACGATCTTAAGGATTTTCTCCAGTTATTACTTTCACTGAATCCATATAATCATCAGAATTTCAAAACCATTTATCCAGTGCAATCAATTAAACAATAAGCACTTGAACATCTATTTTCACCCAATTAAACCGTGAAATGGAAGTGAATTAGTTGAAAGCCATTATCAATTTCTTCCGGTCAGGGCTTGAAGACTCGAAAGGATGAAATTTTACCCTGCATGAACTTTTTTTTTAATGGAACTTAGAAACTCAAATAAATCGACTTCACTTTAAAAAAATATTCAAATAAAATTTGAGTTATAAATTAGAACTATTGACTAACCCCATTTTTCTACTACAATCGATTAAGTGCTCACCCGTATCTAAAATTGCAATTCAAAATTGTGATTTTCCTATGGAGATTGCTTGCCAATAGCTTGACTCGGTATATAAAAAAAAGAGTAATGGGGAATTACCAGAACGACGTGTTTGCCCTTAACGTCGAGCTTCAAGTCAAGTGAAATGGAAGGAGCTCCATTAGAGAGAGTGCCGGAGCCATAAGATTGAGCTCGAACCAGATCAACAGAGAGAGGGAGTTGGATTCTCCTGACAAGATCGGCGAAGAAGAAGAGAGCACCGGTGGCGACTCCGACGAAGAGGGGAGGGTCGGGAACGGACTTGAAATCACGGGTAATTTGAGAGGCGAGCTGGGTTACCCGGTCCAGAGTCTGGTCTTGGGTCCAAAGAACCTTCTCTATGTGAGAGTCTAGAGACATCTGGATGGTTTCACTTTCAAAATTTGAAGGTTGTTTCCCTACGATAGAGCAAAATAGAAAGGCGGCACCTTTCTGTTTTCTTTATTCTCCATAGCTTAGGGTTAACGTCTTGTTCGTGGGAGATTCCAAGGATCAGGTAAAGTGAGCTACGACCCTTGGATTAAAAGGGTGTGATATCAACCGTCGGATAAAAATACAAAGGAAAAAAGAGAAACGTTATTCTTAAACAAGGCCCCCGAAAAAGGTCTTTGTTAATATTTGTTCGGGTAAATTAAAGTTTCGTCAGTTAACTGTACTTTCACCTTTATTTTATTCGCTAAAAGTTGTTTTAATACATTATAAAATTATATCTCGGAAAAATGTTTTAATATCTAAAGATTTTTTTTTGTTAAAAATAAGTTTCTTATGTTTTCTTAGCTATATTTTTAGGTATCTAGTGTTATATTTTTAATTTTTTAAATAATAAAAATATTATTTTTTTAAAAAAAATAACAAAAGCTTAATTTATTTATAAAAAACTTAATTTTTTACTGAAATTATAAAAAAACTAAAATTTCCCATTTCAACCCTATTATCAACCGTCGTCGATCATCTCTTGCCATCATCGTCAAACGATTGAGTTTTGATCGGAATTACATAATGGTTAGTATGGTGGTGACAATGAGACTTATGGACGTTAGAATGGGTCGGAATTGACGAAGAACAACGACAATAACTTAAAATCAGATGAACATTTGAATGTTTCTTCACGAAAAACGGTAGTATATTACAATGAAATACCAACAAAGTTTAATCAAAGATCAATGTCGGTGCTAATAGTGGTGACGGTGACAGTGACGATCATGAATAGTTAACTGGTGGCTATGAGAGGGAAAAGGGGGAGAGGGGTGGGGCACGGATTGTTGTTGTTTAGTTTTTTTGCTTTTTAATAAAGATATTTTTATTTTTTAAAATTTTTAAATAAATTTTCAAAGTTATCAGAGCATGACACATGTCACTTAACAGATATTTTTAACGGCGGTTAATGTATGAGCATCTAAAAATATAATATTAAAAATATTAGAGATTTATTTTTAAGCATTAAAATATTTTTCGAAACATAGTTTAAACACTTATTGTTATATTAAGCCCTCAAAATTTAATTACTTTTAACTTAAGTATTAAAATTTTGAATTATTTAACTTAAATATTAAAATTTTGAATTATTCTTATTTTGATCACTTCATAATTAAATAATTAACGACTTTATGATATGTAAAGCGACATCAAAATGATGGTTGTTTCAAAAATTAATTTTATATCAAAATGATATAGTTTTGAAGTCATATAAAATTTTATTTTTACTTTTTATTTTCTCTTCCTTTTATTTTTTCATCTTCTTAAAATTCAATCATCATTCATCATGACTAGCCACCATCAATCGTTGTCAATGACGATGAGACTAAGGGCGTAATTAAGAATTTATTATAGTAGGGTAAAAGCCGAGCAATTCAAAATTCATCAAACAATTTAGGTTTAATTATTCTTATTATTGAGACTCATGCACGGTCATTAAAAAAATAACATGATATATTGTTATTAAATGCAAAATCACGATGAATTTATAATAAATATTAATAGTTTTATTTAAGCATAATTAAATATTAATAATTTTAATATGTTAAATGTTTAAATATAAAATAGGTTAAATTACTCGTTTAGTATCTAATCTATCAGTTTGGTCCGTTTTAGTACCTAAACATTTAATTTTTTAAAAAAATCATACCTAAAGTTTAGTTTTTTTTCATTATAGTATCATTTTTAAAGTTTAGGTACTAAAACATATCAAAACTGATAGTTTAGATACTTAATGCGTTAAGTTTTTAATGGTGAGGCATTGAAATAAAACAAAAGTTAAACGTTAGATACGATTTTAAAAAAATAAAAAATTTATATACTAAAACAAACCAAAACTAATAGTTTAGGTATTAAATACGTAGTGTGCGTTTGGTTAACAGAATGTAAGATTACCAGTGGAAATAAAAGATTATCAGGTAATAAGATTACTGGAAATGTTGTATTTTGTGTTTGGTTGGTTTAGCAGGAATGTAAGATTACCGTGTTTGGTTAAAGGAATAAAAGATTATTGGAATGTATATTTGACCAAATTGTCTTTATTATATATTTGTTTTTTTAACAAGTTGAATTCTATTATAATATTACTATAATTAATTTATATATTTTCTTTAAAAAAAATAAATTCATAAAATTTATATAATTTTTAACAAAATTGAAAAGATAAATAGGTTTAAAGAAAGGGTAAAATTTTATTTTAACCACTGAACTTCATTTAAAATTTTAATTATAGATTTTTTTTGTAAATCTAAAATAATTTAAGGATAAATTTTTAATTTAACATTCGTAGAATTTTTATTATTCAACGACAGAAGAATAAAATTTTTGAAAAACAAATTAAGGGAATTTTAGTCTAAAACGCCGGTAATCCAATAATACCTAAGGGAATGGGGTAATCACATTCTCTGTAATATACCCAAAAAAATTCACTGTTTGTAATAAAAGATTACCGGAAATGAGATTATCGGTCAACCAATCGGGGGAATGAGAATTCCATTCCCTTGAACCAAATGGGGCCGTAGGGTAATAAAATATGGCCATGCTTGAAATTCCATGCGAGTCCCTGTACATTTCTTTTAAAACTTTAATTAGAAAAAAATAATGCTTGTTCTTTCCAAAGCCCGAAGCCAAAAGCCCAATGTTTATCTTTCTCAGTCTCAGCCCAAATGTCATTCCTTTTTAAAGTTTCTTACTTTCCACCCAACAGATCCGAATAATCCAATTCCGAAACCAAAGTTTCCCCACGAAATCTCTCTAGTTTCCACCCTCGATGGACTCTCTCCAAGCCACTTATAAAGACGATTACAACGAAGGAACAGCCCTCCAACCACCTCCGGTCACCGGCGAACCTCTAAAAGAAACTCTAATGGTTTGAAAATAGGCTGTTTACAATATGCTTTGATAATGTTCTCATTAATCTATATTTGTCAGCCTTCCAATGACCAAACTGTAGGCCTTTGCTTATCATGAAAAGATATTGCAAGCCACGAGTCCTTTAAGCAGTACCCTGTGAAGTGACATTAAAGCTTTCTACAGTGCAAATTTCATGGCTTGTATTTATATGATTCTGTTGGACTTTGCAGTACCCACCATCGCGTAAATGTTGTGGAAAAGTTGAATAAAATTGTAATGAACCCTGAGATTTGGACAGTTAGTTAGGCCCTTACTAAATGAAAAAGATATAGCAAGATATGTGTCCTTTTAGTGTGCTTCTGAGTAGTGACATATAGAACATTTGGACAATGCAATTTTATGGCTTGCATTTTTATAATTCAGTTGGCTTTGCAGTATCCAACCCAAAAATAAATAATGTGTTAGATCTGAACAAAATTGTCTGATTAGAATACAGTCAACTCTGGTGCTTCAGAGTAGTGTCGATTCTGGCTTCTCTATGGTATTGAATGGGGTGCTAATTTCTCTCCTTTTGGCTGGCACGTCATAATGGATAAAACTTAGAACTCTAATTATAAAGTCTTCCTACCCAGAAGCTACCTGGGCCTATCTGATTGGATGTGCTATGTTCTGCCTGTTAAACCTGTTCATGGTAATATTTAGAGCATTTATCAAAAATGGATTGTTTGTTCAAACCTTGCTGTTTAGACAGGCCATTGGAAAGGCTTTAAAGTAGACTAGCTGTGAATCCTAGCTTTTATGCTTCAAATGCAATACATTCATTATTATCAACTAATTGCCATTGAAATGACTACATATTCTGTGTTTGACGAGGACTTTGTTTAGACTATTTACAATTAGCTGGAAATACTGCTGTTCATGTGCTGTGCTTGATGTTCCATAATTAATGTTGATGTTGACTTTCCTGCAGGAAGTGAAATTTCTTTTTTCAAAAATGGTGTATGCCAAGGAGTTGCTTTCAAGGATTTGTTTGGTGGTCGTTACTATCCTGCTGCTTCAATGTACACCCTTCCGAATCAACCAAACTGTGCGGTGAAGTTCAACTTCGGCCCCGACTTTGAATGCTACCCGGAGGAATTTGGTGGACGTCCAATTCCCAGACCCATGGCTGAAGTTCCTTATCATGGGTTTGACAACCAACAAGTAGAAAACAGTGTAGCCAATGAGAAGAAACAGTAGTGAGCTTGAATCAGAGACTAACATCATTCTAAACACCTGCTAATTTGAGGGACTGTTTTATATTTAATTTTAATTATTTACTCTTGAAATTAGGTCTGCTGAGTTGATTGATTAGTTCTGTAAACTCTGACTTTTCTTTAAAGATAAGAGAAAGTTTGGTTTCTTGCTTGCAATACACGATCCATGTCTTAGATGTCATTTATTTTACTTTTGTCTCGTGTATATATCTTGATATGATTCTTTAGTTATTTTGAATGCTCTTTTTTGTGATTTAGTTCCTTAAGCAGACCGCACGAATGTATTGTAGTAATCTTAATTTTGCAGTTACTACATTATTCAGACAGGACCAGTAAAATCTCAGTGATCATTGCTTGTACGTGCAACGGACTTCTTTTGGCTTGCATTTTCAATTGTAGTTTCTCAATCAGACCTGATTCACTACGCCTTTTCCTGTTAATAGAATGTAATTCTGTGTTCCGATTCTTTAAACTGGGTAAAGCAGATAGTTTGCAGCAGGAGATATTACACAGGTCTTAACAAATTGAAATGGTAAACAATTATTTAGCTAGTGAAGTGGATTCTTATTCCCTGTAAAACATTGAACTCTAACCTTTGGCTTTTACTTGTTAACCTTCTGCAGGCGCTGGGAGGATAGAAGGAATTCATGGGGATTTCACTACTTATTGGAACAGTCCCTTTGCAGGTAAATTCTGATTCCGATTTAGATAGGAAAAGGATGTAGATTCCACTGACATTAAGAAAAATGATCAGGTTGGCTGATATGGTAAAGGGTGCAAAAGCAGTAAATCAACAAAATTAGGGTAGTAAAACAAGTAGAAAGAAGTTAGAATACTAGAAAATGTAGGGTTATTGACTTGGGAGCTTAATTTCAAAATATTTTATTTTATTGTTCTGTTTTTAGTTAAGTATAAGATATTTGGAACAATTAGATTATTAGCTTTCTTGAGGATTTAGGGTAAGAAAGAACTTTTACTTGCAGGAAAAGTAACTTTGTTTACAAAAAAGTCTACTATAGGTAAGCTGTATTATATTTACAGATCTTTCTATCTTATTATTATCTTTGAAAACAACCAAGTTCTCTAGAGTACCATCTTTCATATTCATTGTTCAACCTTAATTGTTTTGATTGCTGCTGTTTTTTCTTCTTAACCACATCAATATTATAGGTTTCCGTCTCGTGATTAAATGATATGCTTGATCGATTTTCTAGTTTTAAGCTGTTTCCAAAGACTGACTTGAAAAGCAAATACCATCAAATTAGGTTGAGAGGTTAGCGGTGCCATTTGGCCTTTCTAATGCACCAGCCACTTTTATGCGGGTTATGAATTAGGTACTTGGGGAGATAAAAGGCCATGAGTTAGATGCAGATCAACACATTTGACAGAAATTGTACAAGGATGTGGAGAAATTGGTCCTTCTTGTCAATTCGATAAGGGTAATGCACAAAATAGGAGGTTATAGACCCCACTACCTATTTCATAGATGTCATGGACTTATTTGAGCATGTGTTTTGTGTTAAGATTACCAAAGGCAAGAAATGATTATGATTCCATCATTTTTTGTGGTGGATCGTTTTTCAAAGATGGCGCTTTCCTTTCCTTGTTCTAAAACTTCTAATGCTATCGTTTGAGTTGTTTTTAAAGGAATTGATGATGGTACATAGTATTCTTTCATCTATTGTTTTCAGTAATGATGTCAAATTTCTAGGATGTTTTTGGAAGACTTTGTGGAAGAAAATGAGAACCTAATTGAAATTTTCTAACCCTTGTTAAGTTTTTATCCACAAACATATAGGCTAACAAATGCTGTTAATCAAAGCTTAGGTAATGTGCTTCGATATCTTGTTGGGATTCGTGTGAAATGTTTGGGACTTGATCATTGCTCAAGCTAAGTTTTAAAGAAAACAGTGAGCTACCTGAATTAACAATCCATTGGATTAGTACGCAGTTTACTTGGTTTAGACCTGGAAATAGAAGTCAATTTTTCTTTGATGGATAATTTTTATTAGTAATCACAAGGTAGGATCAATTCGAAAGATTTTTAACTATTTTGTAAGGAATAGTTCGAAAGATTTTTAACTATTTGATAATGAACTATTTAATAACAAATATTTAAACATCCGTGCAAATACTATTCTTGAAGCTGAAATTTTTAGGGATAATAATTATTCTTTTAACCATTGAAGTCGCTCGGTTTATGCTCTTTGGTGGATGATTAGATAGGCAGGTAATTTAACTTAAGGTCTATATAGGATGTTAACCCCTAATTGTTTAACAAATAATTTAAGAACTTATTTGATCGTGACTTCTCGTATGGTTGCATGTTATTAGGGAACCGAAAGATTTTTTTTGATATTATTATCACACGAGACAATCAAAGCTGTGGAGAAGAGTCAACGAAGCTGATAGGCTCCACCAAAAATGCATATCTGACTTCTTGTATATGGCACAGAGAAAAAAATGCGGAAAAATCTTAAGATCTGAATATTAAAACAGTAAAATTACACGAGAGAAGTAATTAATTAGGATCTTCAATGGCTGCATCTATAAGTTTTCCCTTGATTCTTCGTAATACTTGCTTAGATGGTGACCAGGTTACTACTGGTTTTGTTTCTCTTTAACATCAACATCAGTAGATGTAGGGTGGCGCTTGATCTTTCTTAATGCTCTTTCTGTGAATGCTTCAACCTAAAACAACAAAAGTTTTATGAGGCCAATGAGTAAAGTGTTATTTGTGTAACAAGCAACTTCACAAGCATAAATAAAGAATTCTGGAAAATTTACAATGATAAATGAGAAAGCCATAATACCCAGTTAATCACAAAATGTCATATAGCTGCATGTTAACAGCTAAACTTTAGGAAAGAAATGAACCAACTCCATTCTAGGTTGAATACCGGTAGAAGCTTTGCTAGAAAAGTAGGAATTGGTTCAACCAAATATTATACGAGACTGCCTTGTTCGGCTTTAAAATTAGTTCGGAAACAGAAAAGGTTCTTATTTTTCTGTTTAGTAGACGGGCATTAGACATGTAAAACAAAGTTCTCTACTTTCAATTGCTAAGTAAGTCCCCTCAAGTTTGCACTTTACGGCAACCAATCATAATTTCAAATATCCCAAACATAGATTTGTATGAATTTATAAGGTGACGAGACAAGTTAAATAGCGAAGAAGTCAGGTGAGTTTCGGAAAACAGTTTTCAAGAAAACATTCTTACTGCGTCTTTTATTTGCTTTGTTATACTCGCAGCCTTCGATGTAGCAAGTTGCAAGCATTTCATGATAACTCTTTGAGGGACACCTTCTCCACCGCCTTTTTGAATTGCACAAATATCACCATTTGCATTAACTGTCATAGTCATTCTTCCGCCCATAACAGCTTCCTCATTGTGAGTTGGATCTATTAGCTGAATTCATCTCATTTAAGGAGAGCAAAACTTTAGTTGTGAACCAGAAGAGTTAATAAAATGTTCTGAAATATCCTGATGAAAAATTTACTCACCAAGATGCCCTCGTTACCAAAAAATCCGAAGGTTATTGCAATTGGAAGATGATGCACTGTCAAAGGAAGAGGCTCCCTTATCTGTCAAAATAGTAGATATTTCAATACCATAACCAGGCATTCAAATGAGTCGGAATGAGAAGAGTTTTTTATGGGAGAGAAGAGGAAGAAGATGATAAGAAAGAAGTGACATGATTAAAGTGCCATTTAAGTTCTCATTAGTTTCAAACGAAGGTCAAAGAGATAAAGCAAGATGAATGTACCATAACAGAAGTAAAGAACAATGATTCATGTCTTAAGTCGTGAATAAGTCAACAAAATTAGGAGTATTGCATTAGTTATACTCTTTCCCTCTGTTTCACTTTATTTTAAACCTCTCCATTTTTAAGATGCTTCGAAGCAAATCAAATGGAAAATGTTAAAAGACAATCCTCTTCTTTCTGTTTCTCTATAATTAAACAAACTAAACAAAAGAACTTCAATTTTCTCTCACGCCAACCGCAGTGTCGGATACCAATATCTGGACATGTGTATGTGGATATGACCCTTCAAGGACCCTTCAAATACATGAAAAACTTGGAAAAAAAATGAACATACCATGTCAAACATGTACTCATACCCAACACTTGCACTGAATCCCAAGTAACATAGTAAAATATAGGTTATAAAACTCACTAGATTCTTCCCAGTTCCCATCTTCACAGTGAAGTTATTCTGAGAAGCAAAGTAGTATCTACGAAAACAAAACATTGTTCTTAAAATGCAAGAGTTAAGAATCTGACCTCGGGTGGATGTACAATTACTTCCTGACCATCTTCTCCTCCTAATGAGCATTCAGGCCTCCGGAATGTCAGCAAAGCAGCCAAAGCAGCAATATTAGCGGCATCAACAAGGTTTCTGTTTGCATAAAATATATTATTGGAACTGAATATGAACATCTAATATTAGCAGAGAAACAAAATGGAAAAAGATTGCAATAGTACCCTCCATTGTCTAGAATGTGGAGATCAATCCGAATAGCCCACACAAACTTGCCAGCTAGAATACACAGTGATTCGGTATCCACAGCCCTGCTTTCCCTGTAAGATAACTATAAACCTTCAATTACCTTTATTTGAATAAGAAAAACGCAGTTACAAACCAGAATCTAAGTTCCACCACATCCCTGAAATCTTAGTAGAAGCTTGCACCCATAGCATATCAGGCATTCATAAAGCAAAGAAAATATTACTGAAGAATTATTTTTCGCTATAACTATAAGCCAAATACATTCAAAAAATGAAGACAAGACAAAGCTGGAAAAGTAAGTTTCAATGAAACCTTTAAATTTAACAGTACCTTAGACCACGATCAATTATACGTCCCAACTCCACAGCCAATTCTCCAGGACGACCTGGCTCAAACGAAGGATCAGCCATTGGAGAAAATTCTGTGAAGATTGAAAGCGTCCCTTCCTTAGGCCGATCTTTATAAGGCTGAACCAATTGAGCAGTAACAATGCCCATAACACGAGTCTGGCCTAGCTGCACCTCTGATGATCCATCCCCTCTGTAAATCACCATAGTAATTAAACAGACTTTTACCAACAATATCTACCAAACAAGCTATTCACAGTAAATGATATCATTTGATAATGCAAAAAGAAAAACAAAAAGATGTATGCATCTAATCGCTTCAATTAGAAGAATGGAATCAATCAAGGTGTATTCCTTTGAGTATGAAAACAAAAATCACACAAGAAAATATTACCAAATATGAAAAACATTTCTCAAACCGAGATTCTCATAAACATGCATTCCTTACATGAATGCTTGCATTCCTTACATGAATGCTTGCATACACATATAGATACCCCAAGTTTCACGATAAGTAATTTTAAAACATAAGCTGAACAGAGTAATCATGAGCTGAAACGCTGGGAACTTGCTACTGTAGATATCCAAATGCATAAAAGTTGGTTCTTTGTTTGATACACTGAAGAATGATGCTTCAACTTACCTGTCAAACTTGATTGAAATCTTACGGTATTCGAAGGGCTTTCGGCCATCGATTCGAATTTCAGAAAGCAGAGCAGTTTTGATGAAATTCTTATCGTTCACTGTCAACCGCCACGCATTCGAAATTCTTCCTTCCATTGCCTCTCAGTTTCTCTGCAAAAAATTGCGCCGAAAGATACTGCTTTCGCGTTACAGATTTTTACAAAATCCTGTTGTCTTCTAATTTGAAAAGCTGAATTATGGATATAGAAGTAAGTAGCATTTAGAACAGAAGGCTTACAGTGAAGGAGGAGGAAAGTATGAAGAAGAAAAACCCTAGGGTTTTGTTAGGTTTTTTTTTTTTTTACTTATTGTTTCCCTTTTTCATTTTTGCCACGTGGTTTCCCGATAAATTTAAAAAAAGTTCCAAGTTTTTTTTATATGAGAGAGAGATAATCAAAATATAATTAAATTTAAGATAAATAAATTTTAATCTCATTTAAAATTATTAAAATAATTATCTTTATATATTTAACAATATTATTAATAAAAACATAATTATTATAATACTCTATTTATATTTTTTTAATTATCTTTCTATCTTATTAAAAAAAGTAAGCATATAACTGGTTTTTAAGAGGGACAAAAAGTACGCATTTTCACTTGATTAAAGGATTAAAATACTTAAAGGAGGGACAAAATGTGAAGTTCCCTTTAACTAAGAGGGTGTAATCAAAAGAGGATGCAATTACTATATAATAATTTCATTTTCTTACTATTATTCTTTGGGATGGGCATGGGTCGGGTTGGGTCGGATTTTCGGTCCACCTGATCTGACTCGAAAATTATACATCCTCCATTTGACTTGAACTCGACCTGAAAAATTTATACCTTCTATATGATCCGAACTCGATATGCCTTTTTGAGACAAATTCTTAATACGACTTAACTCGAAATAATATATTTATTAAAAGTATTATTTTTATTTAATAAAAATAGAGATTTAATTGAAAAAAATAATATATTCATGATTATTATTACAATTATCCCTAAATATATAAGGTAAAAATATTTTTTTTCGGGTTGGGTCGGATTGGGTATTTTTCACCCTAAACGTAAATCCGACCCAACTTGGACATAATCTCTGAAAAACTCGATCTGACCCGAACTTTTTTTAAATCGAACCCAATCAAGTCGGGTCGAATCAAAACCCGTCAAATACGAGTCTTGTGCCCATCCCTAATTATTCTGCAGCATTCAACTGTCAAATTCTATGTTTTCTCGAGAAAATCTGTATTAAATTAAAAAATGATGTTAGTTGCAGTTTGAACAAGTTAAATATTTTTTGTCAAATACTACCATCATATAGTTTATTTATAAATTAATGAATATATGAGTTCTTTTTTTTATACAAACAACAATTCTTTTTATATTTTTGAACTCATGAAACGATCACGATCCTAATAATAGAAGGAAATGTTATTATTTATATAAAAAAATCAAATTTAAGTAATTATGTCTGTATTGTATGTACGTTGTCAATAGCTAGAATAAATTCTTCACATATATTGTTTTTTAATTACTTCAAACTATTTAAAAAATAAAAAAAATATTTTTTTATTTTTTAATTAAATGAATGATGATATGAATCCAATTCATGGAATCCAAAAGATCATTTGAATATTCAGTATCCACTACATGGTTTCGTGCCATAAGGGTGTTCACATCACATCTACCAAAATTAAGAAGGCCGATGATGATATGTGGATCATGTGTGGATGATGGCAGCTCTCACACCCATCATATAACATATTATGCATACATCCATGTATGTAGGATGAAACTACTTGGTGAAATAATCATGTCATCAATCAAACTCACTTGTGATGGGTCACTTTCATTCACCAATGACCATAGAAAATCAGTAACATCATACCTCAGCTGATGTTTTCCCGCATCATGTTTAACCATAGTGGTTAACTTTAAAGACTGCAATTATTTAATACCAAACTCACGTAAAGTCTATAGATTAGGTAAGAAAAAAGCATCACTAACTGCAACAAAACATATGCAGAGTTGAAAACAAAGTTAAAATCAGGAACGGGAACAAGATTTTATGCTAGAAATGCAAACTTAAGAAGTTAAATTAGATTATCAATAGAATATGCCGTACCCGGAATCCCTCGGTCCATCCCCGGTTAAAACATAACTTACTTGGCAGCTTGACTTTGGTGAGAGTTGACAGATAAAGATGCCCGGCAATATAGGGATAGTTACAAGTTAAGAAATATGTATCATATGTTTATATCTCTACACTTTCTTTCATGGACCCCCGTTGTCATAATCTTCTTTCTCCGGCTCTCGTGGCAATAGAGAAGCCATGAAAAGGAGAAGCTGTCTTTCGAAAAGCGATGGTTATCGTCCTCGATGTACTTTGGGATAGCCGGTATTGACTAGGGTCCATATGGTGTACCTGAAACTGTAAAAAAAACACAACCTAAGGTTCTTCTTCCCTATTTCTAAGGTTCTTCAGCTACCATGTCTATATTCCATTTGATGATGTTCATCTGGATCCTTTTGTCAATAAGCTACCTTGCCTTTCTTGCATCTGCTTCATTGTGCACACAGTTTGTTCAACAAACGACAAGACGATTCGAGCAGAAAACGGATCGGTTCTGGGAGTTTGATGAGCAATCCAACACCTGGGTGGAAGTTAAACTTCCTTTTGACCTTGTATCTTGTGTTAATGATAATTGTACTAAAGTGGGTTTGATTGATCAAACAAAAAGGACCAAAGGAGATAACTCGGGACACGAAAACGATGTTTCTAACCAACAGAACAACAAGAGGGATGGTAATATTGGAAGATCAGATGAAAAGTCTTACACAGTTTTTCCTGTAAGAAAAAGAATCTCCTTGACTAAAATGTCTGAGACATCCATTTGGGTGACCGGCGAAAGCGGGTCTATCTACGAGAGGTTTTGGAACGGAGTGCAGTGGGTTATAGCACCACATGATTTGCATTTATCGGCGGGTTATGCGGTCTCGGTCTTGATAGTCAATCAGACAATTCTTGGTATCTCCGAGGAAGGAAACCTATACCAGGTACCACTAAGCACCAACTGCTTCAATTTTTATGTTAGATGAAACAGTATGAACTATACAGGATTGCATAGTGAAAATTCTGAGTAGTTTTCGAATAAGAATAATTACAGTAGTGATATATATATATAAGTAAAGAACCAATACCGGAATCAAACATCCTACTCGAATTTTGCTTCTTCCGTTTTAATTTCGTTTTATTAGATGTCTGATTGTCCTACACCGTAAAACAAATCAAGCACATGGAACCACTTTGATCATCATGCATATATAGAACACCATGAAGCCAGATTTCAGGTACCACTTCACCAGTATCGGGATAGATTCCGACCATAGCCAACAAGACCAACAACAACACAAAACACATACTTTTTTTTCAGTTTGTTTGGACATAAGGAAGGGGGCATACCTGTATTCGACCACAAGAATTCCTTGTTCTTATCGGCTGATGCATCTTCCCTTTCCTAGATGCAACTGGGTGACAACTTGCAGCCAATCTGGGTAGAGTTCAAACCTGCATTCGATCAAAGTACAAATAAAAATGTAGACCGGAGCTCAGTGGTTCAGATAAAGTCCGGTACTGTTTCGTTCGATGGGATGTAAGTGCACTAATTCGATGTTGAGAGGCATGGTCAAATTTCATTTCAATATATAAGTAATGTGTCTCTACCAATAGTTCCTTTATTTTCCTGAACTCAATGCAGGAGAGTTTATTTCTGCACAAAGAATGGCTTGCTGCTCGAACTCAGTGAGGTTGAGCCACCAAGGTAGAAACCTTTTCCTTTCAAAGTCTTAATGCTCAAATAGAATTTCGTTCATTTCTACCATTGATGCCTCAAGTCTCATATGCCAGCCTATAAATGAGACTAATATTTCAATAGGAGACTCTAATATACAGTTTGGATTATGTGCTGTCATTGTAAACGTAGAACAGGTGGGACAATCATGGCCGACCACCGGGAGCAGATGTTGCAGCAATTGCTGACGCGGGAAGAATTAGAACAGAAGTAGTATATACAATAAGGTGCTCTGTCTTTCTCTATATAATTACAGACACATTTTTCAGTTTTATGATTACCAACGTGAGCTAAACAGGAAATGGTGCAATAGTTCTGCAGGTGACCTTTATGAATATGATAAGAGCTCGCGGCCATCGTGGAAGAAGCATCTACAGAGTGAAGAAACGACAAAAGAGGGTTTTCTAGTACCATTAATGGGGAGCTCGATTCATGGCTTGATCGATCACTCTGTATCCTTGTTTCTCCTAACAAAGGTATTCTGCACAAACAATTCCTACCATATCACCAATAACACATTCGATTGTCACAAAACATGAACATACTACATAGCCCATTATCCTAAATTCGACATCATGGCTTATGAACTTCCTTGAATATACAGGGAGGTAAATTGGTAGAGAGACGACTGCATCAAAGGAAATGGAAATGGATAAATCATGGAAGTCCAGAAGATCAACACCTGACATCTATTACTCCCCAGCTGGAAGATGAACCCAATGAAAGATTCGTCTCGTTATTTCTCACTACGTCCACCGATCAGTTTTTGAGTATAGAATACCAAACCATTCAGGTAAATCAAGTGGCATCGAAAAGTACCCGGTAATTTTCTCTTCTCTTTATGTAACTTGAACATTTGAAGCCAGGTACAGCTCAAGAAAACCAAATTTCAGTAGCATGGGTGAATCATATGCATCCACCAAATACAAAAGCTGCAAGAGGTATTGCAGGACTAAAATATCACTTGGAGGACCCTATTTGCACTAGATGATGGTAGACTTGCGGAGTTACATATACCTGGCCTAGGTGGTGAAAATTCAGGGCCAACGCCTCAATTTAATATGCGAAAAAAAGTATCCTCTAAGCATGTCTGGTCAATATTAGATGCCCCGGAGACAGAAGGATGGAATGCGGAGTATTGTACAGAAGAACGCGGACCTTTGAATTGCATTGCAGGTATAAAAGATGAAACAAATGATGCAGGAAATACAAGATCGCTGACAAGGAGAAAAAAGGTAATAAAGCACAAGAAGATTACCTATATCCAGACACATCCAGAGTAGATTAGTGAAACATCCGAAGAATACAGTTTCCCAGATAACTGGACCAACGCTAATTTCCGACTGAGGATGATGCAAGCAGGTGAATCGTTTTTTATCATCACGGATGGGGGTTTGACCTTAGAGTATCTCTACGCTGAAAGTGTATGGCTCTGGTTAAGACACGATCATTTGACGCCTATGAGAGGTTCCCTAGGAAACTACAATGGAAGTTTATTTCTTGTTGACATGTATGGGACCTTGCTTATCAGAGAAAGGAGCAGCAATGAGCTAGCGTGGATAAACTGCACTGCAATGAGGAAAGGAACGCAAGTTATCGCAGGCCCTCCTTGGGATGGTATGCCGGGTAAAATGAAAGTCACAGCAGAAGATGCACTCTTCTTTGTGAGCAAAATTGGAAGGCTAATGAAGTTCACGGTAAGATGCAGTACCTAAGTTTTCGTGATACGGATTCTTTGATATGTTCACAAACTGTATCACTAACCAAATCCAAACATGTCGTGTAGGTTGCCCTCAGAAAGTTCGAATGGAGAGATTGCGGGAACCCTCCAGAAACCAAACTTGCATGCATAGTAGACCAAGAAATGTTTAGGCATAATATAGTGTTTGTTGTTGGAAGAAATGGCCGTTTGTACCAGTATAACAAGGTGACCGAGTTGTGGCATGAGCATCACCAATCTCAGCATTTGGTTCTATCCAGGTTGCCCGGAACTGCCATGAGGCCTTTGATGTTTGCACTAACAGGTTCACTTTTCATGCTTTCAGAAGACGGACGACTGGTTGAATATCACTGGAATACATTGGATGGTTGGAACTGGGTGGAACATGGCACTCCATGCAAAGATGTTACCTTGGTTGCTCCTCCCGGTCCATGCTTCAAAGGCGATCAATTGTTTACGATAGGTTCAGACGGAAACGTATACCTAAGGTGCAAGGACCAATCAACATGGAGATGGAAAAACTGTGGTTTCCCACATGACAGAGACAAGATAATGAAAATCAAACAGAATGGGGGAAGTTTGTTCGGGTAACGAACACTGATCCAGACGAAAATTGTGACCCAAAGGTTCGTATCCTGCTATCGACTAACCATATCCACTTACATACACCTGCATGCCAAATTGATGTTAAAATCTCTACAAATATGTACAGGTTGCTCCTACAAGACCAATTCCATTTTCTGAAGATTCAGCTATATTCGAGCTAAGAGATGGCAGAGTAAGCAATCAAAACCATGTTTCTAATCTCCAACATCTGATTAAATATCCCAAGTAACCAAAACATAGCCATATGCAAAGTAAATAATAAACTTTATGAACAGTTCATCAAAGAAACAGTAAAAAGAAAATCAATAGGAACATTTATTTCATGACAAACTGCACAACTCTAAATAGCAGGCAAAAACTCAAGTAAGTTCTTTTGACCATTTTCTTCAAAGTCTCCCAATAAAGGATTTCTGGGTTCTACAACAAGCGAACAACTTTAAGCATGCAACACGATTTTCATTGGAGAAATGAATAAGAAACTAATGAAAATTATTAAATGGTGCAGTTAGCTGAAATTCAGGAAGTTGAGGACAATCAATGGAAATGGATACGGATCATTGGCACTCCAACAAGTCCATGCAGTGCGAGTTATTGGATTGCTTTGGCATCATGAACAATTACCTAATAGTACCTGAGAAAAGTTCTTTTTTTTTACTCTTACAATTACTACAGAAAACTTTAGAATTTAGATGTAAATTTGAATGTATATTAAACAAACTACAGAATTTTACACATACCTAAATTATACACTTTGAACAATCAAACAGTTAATCCCACATCGTTTTAATTAAACATCACACCAATTGTATACTTACAAGTGCATTTTTCCTTGTCAACCTCTGAAAAAGTTGGCAGAGGTTGGCAATTCTAGTTGCTGCAAACAAACACGTGTCAAAAACAGTCCTCTATTTTCTCATAAAAATGATATAGCTCATATTCCACTTGTCATTTTCTATTGGTTAGATATACACATGCAGACCATGGCAAAATCCACTTCTTCCATGTCTTAGCTTCACAGTTCATAGCCTTCCCATTAAACCTTATCTTCCCCAAAAAAGAACAAAACAAAAAAACATGGCCATCTCCGGTTCTCCGGACTGGTCTTTAGCTTCTACAGATTCCTTTACGTCAAAACCCAGAAAATCTGTTCTCTTCTTTGCACCATGCAAGAAAACCCTTCACTTTGTCCCCTTCCCCACCTCAAACCTCCCATTGTTCCACATCAATTCTTCATGTAACTCCCCATCTGCCATCACGGACCATCCATCATCATCATCATCTTCGAGCGGCAATGTGCCTGTAACAGGCCTAAACGGATTACTCTGTGGTTATTACAAGACACTCCAAGTGAAGATGTCGCATATGATTTCTACCTGCAAGCAAAGAGAACCCAGGGTTCACGCCAGAGAAACAATGTTGAAGCTTCTGATAAGGTACTTTGTCCAATCCAAGAAATGGGATTTGATTATGTCTCTGTCGCATGATTTCAAGCGTTACAATGTCTTCCCCAATGGTTACACTTGTTCTAGATTGATTAATACTTGTGTTAAAGCTAGAAAATTCAAGGTCGTCGAGGCTTTGCTTGAAGCGTTTAGATCAGACGAAGAACTCGCCGTCATTGCGTTTAATTCCGCAATGGCCGGGTACAATAAGTTGCATATGTTTCGAAGCACCATATCCGTGTTCGAATCGATGAAATCAAATCGAATTCGTATGGATTCCGAGTCTTATTGCCTGATCATGGAAGCTTATCAGAAAACTGGTGATATAGACAAAGTTTGTTCCTTGTTGATGAATTCGAAACTAGGAATTTGAATTCGACACCGCTTGCACCTCGTGCGTATAGTATACTATGTGACGCATTGGCGAAATCGAGTCGAGCTTATGAAGCTCTCGAGTATTTCCGAGACATGAGGAAGAAAGGGCTTTTCGTGAGTTCTTCGGTTTACTCTTCGTTGATAATCCCGTTCTCCGGCATCCGCGTTTAACCGTGGTCGAAGAGCTATTCGAAGAGGCAGGGAAGGAAGGTGGTGAGGGATCCAGAAGTGTTTTTGAAGATCGTTTTGATGTATATAGAAGAAGGTTATTAGAGAAAACTTTGGATGTTGTTAGGGTCATGAGGTATGCAAATGTAAAGGTTTCTGATTGTATTTTTTGTACAATTGTCAATGGATTCTCTAAAAGAAGAGGGTTTCAATCTGCCATTGCGATTTACGAGCAGCTGCTTCTGCTGGGCTGCAAACCGGGACAAGTAACGTATGCGTCGATCATAAATGCTTATTGTCGTATCGGTCTCAACTCGAAAGCCGAAATGGTGTTCTCGGAGATGCAGGACAAGGGTTCGATAAATGCGTCGTGGCGTATTCGAGCATGATAGCAATGTATGGGAAAGAAGGGATGATAAGAGAAGCAATGAAGGTGTTGGCTAAAATGAAAGCAAAAGGGTGTAAACCGAACGTATGGATATACATTCATTGATGGACATGCACGGGAGAGTGAAACTTGAGACAGGTGGAGAAGCTATGGAAGGAGATGAAACGACGGAAGCTGCGCCGATAAAGTCAGCTACACAACGATCATCAGTGCTTACAATCGAGTGAGGGAGTACGAGATGTGCGTGAAGTTCTACCTCGAGTTTAGATTGACGGGGGATCAATTGATAAGGCTATGGCGGGCATCATGGTCGGAGTTTTCTCGAAACGAGCCGGATCGATGAGTTGGTGAGGCTTCTGCAGGACATCAAAGCTGAAGGGACTCAGTTATGGAAGGCTGTATCATTCAGCTGTGAATGCCCTGAGAGATGCCGGATTGGAGAACCAAGTTAAATGGTTGCAGAAGAGCTTTGATGCCAGGAAAACATGGTATAGAATGTAAGCTGCACTCAAGGATGGTATACATTTTTTTATTCGGCTCAAATGTCACATGATCAAGCTATTTCACAAAGGTTACGAGAAAAACTATAAATGAAATTTATGAGGTTAATGTCCAACTCTATATAGATAGACACATGAACATACAAAATCTTATGTCGGGGGATAAATTTATAAAATTTTAGAAAATAAAAATATGGACCAATTTTTATGTATGCTATTCATACTCTTGAAAGAATGCTTCTCATCACTCGAATTTCAAACAAGCACAAGATGTCTCGAATCTGCTAAAGCTCCCAACCCCCAAGTTGAATTTGTGTTAACTTCATGAGTTTTGAAAGAGATTTAAAAATTTTAAACCAATAAAGTAATATATATCGATGAGAGATTTATTAATGTCTAAGGTGGCCAAAAGATGTAAAATAATGACAATTTCATGTAATAAAAAGATGAGTGAAAAAAAACATCAACTTTGATGAAAGAAAATGATTAGATGATCATTTTTCTTCTTTCACATCAACACCTAAATATCATGCCATTTGACTGTTAATGATTTAATCAATTGAATTCGAAATTAAAGTTTAATGATTGAATTAAAATATTTTGAAGTTTAAGAATGAAATCTATACATAACCTTATGTTTAGTGTTAGTTGATATAGTTTATCATTATTTTATTATATCTAACAACCATAAACATGTTGGGTATGGAACGGTCAAATTATGAACACCAAACACATTATTTCTACAATGTCTCAATATTATAAAGATGAATTATTAAGGTCGGTGGGGCAATCGTCATTCTAGAAATTTTAAATTATATATCATCATATAGTCGTTTGAAGATATCAGAGTATTATAACGACAAACATTTAGAAAGAATTTTGTTAATTTTGAGTGGATTTCATAAAAAAAACAATTCAAAGAAAAGAAAAATAAATGAAATACAAATGTTTTGACATCGAACTTGCTGTAAATAAAGAAAAGAATATTGTAAATGACGATTTATCAATAATGGAATAAATTGATATGCAAATTAGAGTCTAGTGTCTAAAATTGAAGTATTTTAAAATTGGATGATAAAATTGACATGCAAATTAAAGTTCACAAAGAAGAAATAACTACATTATCAGGTTGTCAACGATTTAATAGTCTAATTAAACTCAAAAAAGGAAAGTTTAATATTTAAATTAAAACAATATAAATGAAAAAACAATAGAAGATCTAAAATTCCATAATATCCACTGTATTTTATCATAAAATTAAAAGCCTATCCAGAAGAATGATCACTGATTCGCCGTAAAATTGTGGATTGTGATACTTGGTTTTCTAAAATGAAAAAATCCCAAGCTGATCTAATCGCTGAAAGGGGCTTAGCACTAATTAAGTAAATAAAAAGAGCTGAAATCATGGCATAATTCAGTAGGAGAACCTGTATTTATTATTCCATTTATATAATTATTTATTATTTGAATTTTAAAAAAATATGGATGAAGTTAAAAAAAGGCTGAAAGTAGAGGGAGTGAGTGGTACCCAGATATTCATAATTTTTTTGTCAGAAACCATGTTATACTATGGACCTTACCCATTCATCCATCCAAAAAGATAAAAGATAGACACAACATGAGACAAAAGTGCCCTAAAGTTAACTTTAATCACATGAAAGAAAAGAACCATCTTTTTACCTTTATCCCACCTTTCTTTTCTTTTTACAGTTCTGCACATTTCATCATAATCTCTAATGGCTGCCAGGTAATAATACCATGAGCACAGTTAAAAAAAAAACCCAGAGTCAAGCTCCTTTGCCATTTTGGGTCTCTCATATCAGTATAGTTGTTGAGCTTCTGGTGGAGTACTTTATAACTTCATTGGGGTCTAGTTCTGTACACAAAGTGACATAGTTCATTCACATTTTGATAAAAAAGGTAAAAAGAATTACAATATGAGATGAAAAAGGAGTTACTAATTACTACTAGCCTTTGTTTCTGCACTATTTGTTGTGTGGTCCAGTAATGAAATGCCAAAGACCCCACTTGCATAAATCAGTTCATCTGTCCTTTACTTGTACATATATATTTAGTATTTTGATTGTAAGCGGTTTTGTATTGATGATGATGATGGTGATCTTTCAATGATCTTGTCTCACAGATCTTTTTTTCCCCTTTGTTGTATGGTTTTGGTTATACACCTTTTGATTTTGGTTTAATCTTTCCATGTATGCTTAATTGTCACTGATTCTGCAAAAGATTAGAACAAAAAAACAGTTCAATCTTTATGAAATGATCGGATTTCACCACGATGCCGACGTGTTCGATAGTGTTCTCTTACCCTGGCAAAGTCGATTTTCCTCGGTTGTCGGCTAGCTACATGCCGATGGTTCCTTCCCCCGACAAAAACCTTGTTATGGCAAGAGATTAATCATAATTAGCTTCCACTAGTTTCGTTGGATGCTATGGCATAGGGTGATGATGGATGGTGATATACCTTGGCATTTGTAGAAGATATGTATTGATTGAAGCCATGTTGAGGCCGGGAGCATTGGCTAATGACGGGTTACCGTTAGAACAAGATGTAGCCGGGTTTCGGTTTGTTGTCAGCTTCTACAGCCTCTGCCGCTGAGGGGAGAAGACGGTGAGGTGATCACCGGCTGATTTCTTCGGAGAAGCAAATAGGTTATCGGGAGAATGTGTTCCAAGCTGTTCATATGAGAAAAGCATTAAATTGATCACCAAAAGATGGCAAAAATTGGCATAGTTATTAGTTTGCTATCTACATCTAGCATTTAAGTACCTTTCAGGGAGATCATTTTCTTCTGTATCGGCCTTCCCCTTAGTGTCACTATTACCATTGTTTTTTTTGATAGAATATAGGCCT